TTCCCAAATATATCACTAGAATGGACATATTTAGCAGTTGTCAGACCCCTCATATTAGTTATTTGACCTGTGGAATAGGAGCTACTGAAGTAGGAAATTCAAAGAAGTAGTTTTTAAAACTGCCTCTTTCTCACCAAGACATTAAGTCAAAAATAGTATTTTAAGCCAGGGTGATGGCAGAGAGTACTACCATCCTCAAAGACTTGAAGGTATGGAGCTCTTCATCATAACTATTTAATTTCCCTGTCTGACCTTTGCAAAAACCTGATGGATCGTGACTGATGATGATGGTCTACCACAAACTTAACCAAGTATTGACCCTATTGCTATTGCTTTGCCAAATTTGGTATCTTTACTAGAGTGTATTAACATAGCCTTGGTACATGTATGTGGCTATCAACCTGTGAACAGGAACTCTAATAAGGTTGAAGCATTATCATTGGATACAATACAATCCTTAAATCAATCACTATAATATGGCCTGTGTCCCTAGACCATGTCCCTAGAAGACATGGATCCAGAGATCAAGCAATAAAAGCAGGAGTGACCCACTCACTATCACTCCTAGTGATCCATTTGGAAACTTTATGTTTCTTGTCCTTGTAACTTTAGGCTTTGCTAAGCCAGAGATCCTGATACTCAGACATAGGGGGTGCCCATCAAAGGATACTGTGGGAGTCCTATTCAGCTTAAAGTTATGATGGCTCTATGATCACTTTAGACTCCTAATGCCAGACGACTGACAAATCATTATGAAGAGGTGGGGTTTCTGCTACATATGGAAGCAAATAGGAATGTACTAGGCACTCAAGAGATCCACCTGGGCATATCTGCGTAGTCCCATGCCTGCTTGTAACTATAAATGGATAAGTACAGTTACCACAGCCTGATAAGAACATGATAAGCAGGGTATTAAGCCCCTCAGTGATGAGTGTCTGGGTCAATCCACTAGTTGTGCCACCTATACCACCAGAAGTGATAGCTGAAGTGGAAGGGAATCCAGAAAGGGTGGTAGAGGAGGGAGATAATGATATCAGTGGTGGCCTTGGCGCCAACTGTAGTAGTAGGGACAGTAGCTTGTCCCATTACCTTCCTATCATAAAACTTCCCAGAAATGGTGACTAATAAGAATTTTGGAGAAACTGTGCTTGTGCTTGGATGGAGTTGTTTAACCTGAAAAACAAATGGTTGAAACATTTCAAAGAGTGTACTGTAGTAAACACTATTTATATCCTGCCCAGATCAACTTCAGAAGCTACTGCATCTAAATTCCAGCACTGTGAGTGTTGGATAACAATTCTAGATGCTGCTTTCTCTAAGCAATAGTTCTTGGTCAAAATAGCAATCACCAAACATGCGAGGCTATGCTATATTCCTGCCCATGCAGATCTCATTCAATGGCACAAAATTACAAACGACTGACTTATTGGTTAAATTTGGTGGTGAATTTTGTGAAATCAGCTAAGGCTCATTCTTCTTCCCTTGTCTTCCTAGTCAATATTACTTCCTTTACTCTCCTTCTCTCGAGAACACTTCCCTGATAAGTCACTTCAACAAGAATCCTTGTCTCAAGCTCTATTTCTAGAGAGTCTGTCCCAAGATAGTCTCTGATATAATTTAGTAGGCCAGATTAATGATATTTTGCATACTTGTATGATATTGTTGGATATTTTGGATTTCCTTGTTAAACCTCCATTTTCCCTTTATTATCATACCATGTTACATAAAGCCTGGAAAATGAAAAAAATGCCGTTACCCACACTTACTTGCAACTGTCCTAGATGCAAATTAGATTCTGCCTGCTAAATGTATTCACCAACATGTGGAAAACTGAACTGTGGAAAAGTAAAGTGAAGCAGAGGTCATACTTTTACCCCCTTTGGGCTAATTGTAAGTCAAGTACAGAGAGGTAAGGATTTTCTGCACAAGTGGGTTCCAGCTTTAATGGTGTAGAGAGAGGTGTGTGTGTGTGTGTGTGTGTGTGTGTGCGTCTAGAATAACTGGGGTATAGGCCAGACGTCCAGGGGTTATGGAGGGTGAGAGGATTTACCAGAGACAGAGTGAGGAGAAGAACAGGCAGATTTACTGAAGTACACTGCTGAGGGGAGTAGCCGGTGAGACAGGAGTGGTCTGCTGCGCCATATGTGGGTTAGCTCCCTGGCCAGGGATGGAACACAGGCCATAGTGGTGATAACACTGAGACTTAACCCCTAGACCACCATGGAGGCCTGAGAGAGACTTGGTGATTGTGATGACAAATGTTTCTTATATTGGCATTCCTATTACTGTATTGCAGCTGCTGAAATGGTGTTTTCTTGAACTCAGGACTTCTAGGGCAACCTGAGGTGGGAGCTTTCCCCTTAGGTTGAACCTTTAGGAACCTGAAAGTCAGTCTGAGACTCAATTCATTGCAACAAATTTCTCCTTTTCTCATTGCAACAAATTTGTAGGTCTCTGAGTCCTGATAAGGAATAACTTTCTTCTTGATAAATGCAGAGTGACTTTTGTATCGTGCTTGAACCCTGCCTGATGAAAAAATATGTTAGCTACAAGAACCCCAGTAAAATAACCCAACTAAAGAGAGAGAGAATGATATAAAGAAACAGGATAATAATACACCCCTGATTTGCAAAATAACTTAGATGCTTGGACACTAGAAAGTCCTTTGCTTCTTGTCTAATGACTTGTCTACTTGCCCATGGCTTTCATCTGAGTGGTCTCGGCCTGTGCATCGATATTTCAATTCTTTTACTCACAATTAACCAACAAATTCCAAATTCCCAGAAAATCTGCAACATGTACCTTATTTCAAACAGAGAGGTGGGGTTATGGTCCATAAAGCTGCTTCTTCCAAGGAGAAAACAAGTTCTCTAAAAGAAAACATTGCATATCTCTAGAACACAAGTTTAGAAAACTGAGTGCCCTATATTTTGGGTCTCATGCTTATCTCTGAAGGAATTTCTGATAGAGTAAAATTTTAAAATGTTAACATAGAGGGTATATTTTCATTCACTAGGATTGCCATAACAAAATACCAAAGACATAGTGGCTTTCATACCAGAAATTTATTTCTCACAGTTTCGGAGGCTGAAAGTCCAAGATCTAGCTAGCTGTTAGCGTGTTTGGTTTCTTCTGAGGTGTCTCCGATTGACTGGCCTACCATCTCACTGGGTGCTTCCCCAGCTTTTCCTTGGTATACAAGCATCCCTGGTGTTTGTGTGTCCAAATGTCCTCGTTTTATAAGAATGCTAGTCAAATTGGATTAGACCCACCCTAATAACCTCATTTAATGTAACCAAAACTTTATCAAAATTTCAACTTAATTTTAACTTTAATTCTCCAACTTAAGTCACACTTCTGACTGACATGCTGGGGTTAGGGTTTTAAAATATGAATTTGGTGGAGGAATACAATTTAGCTCTTAACAGCAGCTATCCTTAAACATGTTTTTTGTTTTTTTTTAAACTATTTATTTATTTATTTGTACAAGCACTGGGTACAGTCAGAAGCGTGGGAGGGTGAGAGAATTCGCCAGAGCCAGAGCGGAGAACAGAACAGGCAGACGGATGAATTACACCGCTGAGGGGAGCAGAAGCGTGGCGGGAGAGGTCTGAGCGCCATGTGGGACCCTCGCCGGTGGCTGGGGAACGAACCGGCGCTTCGCAGCCCAGTGCTCAACCGCTGCGCCACCAGGGGAGGCCCCAAACATGGTTTTTATACAAAGAAAAAGACTACTCAGAAATTTGTCTTTAGGTATGAGGTACTGACATATAAAATACCACGAAGTGACACTTGAAAATAGTAGGTTAAGTGAAAGATGCCAAACACAAAAGGCTACACGTTACACGTTACAATTCCGTTTATGTGAAATGTTCAGAATAGGCAAAAATCATAGAAAGTATATTACAGATTACCAGGGATGGGGTGGAAAGGAATTGGGTGACTGACTGCTAATGGGTATGAGCTTTCTCATTTGGGTGATGAAAATGTTCCAAAATTATATTGTGGTGATTGTTGTACAACTTCTGTGAATATATTGAAAACCACTGAATTGCAAACTTTAAGTAAAGGGTGAATTATAGCTCAAGAAAGATGTTTAAAAAGATATTTAAAGAGGAAATAAAGAAAATACTCTTAAAAAAAATCTTTGCTTTAAATAGTTAATTTTCAATTTATTAAGTCCAAATTTTAATGTACTACTTAAACCCTAGGTTTTAAAATTTATTAATAGCTCTTATAGTCTAGCTTTATTATAGTTATTATTATCTAGAAATGTTTGGTGAACTTCAACAGTCATCTGGAATTAACCTTCAACTACCTTTAGGTCTCATTTACATATTATTTAATGAATCCTCTTCAAACATTTAAAACTGTATTTATAAATGTAATGCTTTATTCCATTTATAAGTTCTTCACATATTTGACACCTTCCTGAATCCTTAAATAATTATTTAAAAATTAATCATAGAAATATGATGAGCCTAAAAAAAAACATAATGAGCCTAAATTTCTCAGCTGTTTTGGGGCTGTCCATAAATTAAATTCATAAGATTCCCACTTAAACTTAGAAATCTACATCAATTATCCAATTTGCATTTTAAATTTTAATTAAGGTTGTCATTGAATGAAGCCAAAGTCACTGACATATTGTTAGTATAAAAAAAATCTGATATACAGAGGGTCTTTTTAAGTTTATGGTTATTTATTTTACACTTTTTTCTTTTTAATTGTAAAAGATTCTGGATTTAAATATGCATATGCTTTAAATAGTCCAGGTAAACTGAGATTAATTGGACCACAGATCTTGGTAGGTTATGAGATCCGGAAATATAGAATTTCAGAATGATTCATTTCTCTGGTCTAACTATCACATCTAGTCCATATTTATAGTTACTTTGTCTTGAGCTACAAACAATGAAGCAAGGTATTGGATTCAAGTTACATACATTATCTGTCAAAAACCTGCAGCTTTCCTCCAGGTAAATCACTTGATTAGTGATATCCACTGATAGACCTTGAACAATTTGCTGTTCTTTTGTTTTGTATTAGGAGGCAAAAGGAATAAAATCCCTGTGCTTTCTGTCTGTCTTTGTGGCAGCCCAGATAGAATAGGGGAATACATCTGTAGCCTAGAAATGTTAAGTATTTTCTTTTTTGAGCAGTGCTAATATAGAAAAAAAAATCTCTTATTAGATTTCATCTTCTTTGATTTCTCTATTTTAGCATGCTTTTGGTTTAACATCAAAGAGTATTCATACTTGACCAGATATTACACTAAATATTGTCTATCTATTTAAAATGACTTCTGCTTGAGAATATTGCACCTGGTGTTTTTCTCTGACTTGCCCTCACAATTTCTAAGGTCACCATATCACATATTAATCCTGTTTCAAAATTTTGCACTTTTCTCTGTTTACTCACGCAGTAGGCATAGGAGAATGTTATGCCAGAGAATGTTATGTTATGTGATAAATTCTGGGGTTATAAAAATAAATAACTTTTTCTTGAATAATTTAAGGAGTTTAAGTTCTTAAATGAGGGAGACTGATACATTAATAGAAAATCATAGAATAGATAGTACCTGCTCATTATCTGTCTTCTTAATAGTACATGCTCAATATCTGTCTTCTTCCATAGAAAAGGAGGGCCTTGTTTCACAAGGGCAAGGACCTTGTTAGCCTTATTCTCTGCTGTTATCACTATCACCTAACACATGATAGCATTCAGTATTTGTTAAGTAAATGAGTACATGTTCAAGATAGAGTTACACATAGGGAGCTTTTGGAGGCCCCGAAGAAATATCTGCCTGGTTTTCTGTGTGGCTTTTGGGATGGGGGGTGTGATGAGGGTGTCACTTAAGAGCTATCAGAAAAAATTCCTTGGAGATGAGTTTGCTCAGAGTCCTGAGAGAGAAAGGAAATTAAGTCTGGTGAAAGTGGGATTGGGGGGTTTCTTAGGAGTTCCCATATAATTGTTGAGGTATTTCAAGTACTTCCCGAAAGCCAAGCAGTAGGTATGCAGCAGAGAAATCTTGAAGGGCCTTGTAGACTGTGTATTTATATAGTCCCATTTCAATATCTATAACAATATGCCTATATTTTACAAGTTTTCCCGTTACCTCTATTACACCAGTAATTCACTGATACAGTAGACTACATCTCGTTTGTTATTCAGGCTCCCAGCATAATGATGGGGGTTGAGTCGCTCTGGAAAGTTGCTGCAGTAATGAATTCATGGATGGATGGATGGATGGACGAAAAGTAACAACAGTGTGAGCACTGTGCAATTATTCTGGCTAAGAATGTCAGGAAAGGAGCCCATAAAAGCCTGTGCAGAGTAGTCAAGGGCAAAGCAAAGGGCAAGGTTAGTGTCATATTTCAGAAATAAGACCAGAGACGTGAATGTGGGTTGTTTCAAACGTCTTTCCTAGCAGGAAAAGGAAGAAATCTGAAATAAGCACTTCAGATGTGATTAGGATTTGTAATTCTCAGGTCTCGAAGAGAGCAAAGGGTCTGGCTTGTTAGCTATGTGACACCTGGACAGCGAAGAGAGTACAGGTACTTCAAATACTTCCCGAACGCCAAGCAGTAGGTATGTAGTAGAGAAATCTTGAAGGGCCTTGTAGACTGTGTATTTATATAGTCCCATTTTAATATCTATAACAATAGGCTTATTTATTTTATTTTATTTTTTACAAGTTTTCCCTTTACCTCTAATTACATCACTTAATAGAGGGTTGCACTCTGTAGCAAGCTCGGCAAACACGGGACAACAGGGCGCCGAGCAGGTGGTGATACTTCCCCAAAGTGGAAAGCAGGCCGTGTGCCTGGGACTACGCGGCTGTCACCCGCGCGAAGTGGCCTGGCGCTGGGCACTCGAGAAGAGACCTAGCAACCACCAGCCCTGCGCGCGAGCGCGGAGACCCCGGGCCTCGAGAGGGCGGAACGTGAAAGGCGGGCATTCTGGAGCTCGCCGGACCCAGTTTCCAGTCGCACCCGCAAGCTCCCGGCGGGCGGAGGAGCGTCCCCTCTCAGCCGGTAGGGCGGCCGGGCGCAGGGCTAGCGACGCAGGGCTGCCCTCCATGGACTCCACGCTAGCTGGGTAATCTCAAACTGCGGCGAGGCTTCCAGTTCCTCCCTTCAGTAGGCGGTTAGGAGGCGCAGCTATCTCCGGAGGCGCCGGGGCCAGTCCCTTGGCCCTCCGATCACAGGCCCCGGGCCCGAGAGGACAGCCGCCCGCCGCGTGACTGTTGAACCCGCAGGAGGAGGTCGGCCCCGTCCCCGGCGAGGTGAGCTGGGGGTGCGCGCTGGGCCCCCACTGCCACTTCCGGGACACGCTGCGGAAAGCCGGCCGGCCTTGGGGACCCCCATCTTTTCCCGGATTGGTTAACTGCGCTCTTCATGCGCTCCCCTCACTGGCCATTGGCTCAGACACACCGTCTGTCACCTGCCTCCCTGTGGGATCGAAGTCGCCAGGGGAAGCGTTACTCGGGCTCGGTTGGGAAGAGGTGGGTCGGGCTCTGGAGCCCAGTTTATTGTAGGGGGGCCCCTACCCCGGCGCGAGCTTCCGTCGCAACGGCCGAGAAAGAAACCAGTAGCAGGACGGAGGGCAGGGGTGACAAGAAAGTGAAGGATTACAAGGAAAGGGAGACACCTAACCCTGGCAACGTCCAAAAGGGAGCGAGATAGGAAGGCAGGCCTCTGAGACAGGAGTTGTAGTCCCTGGAGCAGTGACAGTGGAGGAGGAAAGGCCTAGTTTCTGTCGTGGGAGAAGAGGCCTTGCGGGAGATTTTGATGGCCTAATTGTTTGGGGGATCTAATTTATTTGATGAATTAGTCTAACAGCATTCACCCGAGTTTTCGCTGTGACTTTGCAGTCGAATTGGGAGACGAGCAGCCGCTGCTAGCGTCAGAGACAACTTGCTAAATAATTCAACTCTCTTTTATTGCTTCAGATGGGCAACTTTCAAAAACACAAACCATTGAAGGATGGATACCATTGCATATGTTAAAAACATGTTGAAAGGAAAATAAGGTATTCCCTTTGATTTCATTGTGATTAATTGTACCAAAAAAAAAATTACCTTTGAGGAAGAGCTCTTAAGTTTTGAATATTGGACTAGCTTGATTTTATAGGTTTCAAATTTTTAAATCATTTAATCCAAAAATATTGCTGCTGTGCCTACCAAATATGCGCTTTACTAATGATGATCTAGTCCTTACTATTCTGAAATTGGAAATCTTGCGTTTTCAGTATGTTAATTCACTTTTGATTTTGTAATTTAATGTTAGAATAAGCATGAAATTGGATAGTTGATTATTCATACAACAGTTTGCACTTGCAGGCAAATTTCACTGTGTTTAAGATAGTTTGCTTATTAAACCCTGAGTCTGAGTTAGGACAATTGCTTCACTGGTAATCACTTGATCCTCCAGCCTCTATTAAATCATGTGACATACAAGAATTTGTCAAGGAACAGTTTATTTTTATTTCTTCCACAGAATACTCAAATTAGCTTTTAAAGATAGACCTGAGCCTATCCTGGAAAATTCTGATTTAAGATTGGGGATGACATCTGACATCTGTATTTTTTTTTGAAGGTCCTCAAGTAAGTTTTAGGTACACTCCCAGTTGAGAACTGTTGCTTTTAAGACTTACTAAATAGATGTGTTTAAGAAATTCTAAAATATTTATGAAACAAATAATTTTCTCTATTACCTCATAGTTTAGAATTAAGCTGCTGAAAAATGACATTTAAGTATAATCCCAAAATTGTGTTTTGCCTAGGCAAGGTCAGGATGTTTCACTGGCTTCGGAAATTTCTGGGACTAACTGTTCCAGGCTTAGAGATAAAGTTTGGTATGGAGAGACACAAAGTGTTTTCATGCACTCTCACAATCCTCAGAGCCAGGCATGGAGTGTTGTTTCCTGTTAGATTTCAAAAGTTCCTGTTAGGCTTTAAGGAGAGATCAACTCCAAGTCTGTTCAGTAGATACAATGGGCTAAATTATTTTTACCTCAACAAATTGGGGGGTGGGAGGTATTATGATATTTATGTTTTATTTTGGGAAGAATAGTCTTGCTGGAAATAAATGTAAATAGTAACTCTCCCAGTAGCCTTTTGCATATTAAGTAAAGATTGTGCATAATTTAAGTTTAAATTTTGTATGCTATTTGGAACATCAGTGAGGGCTTTTAGACCAACTTAACCATAGAGCCAAATAGGTAAAAAATGAAATAAGCACTTTGTATTCAGATATAAGAAATGTGCAGTGAAACTGTACCTACTCTGCCTTACTGGCTTTAGGCAGAGAAGTACGTCCAGTTGTATTCTATCTCCTCGAAACTGTTTTTCATTTTATATGGAAGTTGTTTACTACAGATTTAGCTTATGGGTGTAGGAAAAAAATTTTAAATGAAAATTTAAAAGCTGTATGTTAAAAACGTGGAATCATGTGTAGTCCATTACTAATACCTTGAATTTTGTATATGTGTTGTTTGAAAAGAAAGCTGGGAATCTCAGTATGAATCAGTTTAGATCTAGATCAGATGGTGTCGGTGAAGAAACTTCATCTCAAGACCATAATCATCATGAAAATGAGAGAAGATGGCAGCAAGAACGTCTCCACCGAGAAGAAGCCTATTATCAGTTTATTAATGAGCTCAGTGATGAAGATTACCGGCTAATGAGAGACCATAATCTTTTAGGCACCCCTGGTAAGAAATGGGTTAAAGTGGAGACACCTTTTTCATCATTATAAGGAAGAATTTCAAGATAGGAAGAGCGTTCCCCCCTCCTTATTCCCTCTTCTAAAATATAGTATAGTGATTCCATGAGTATAAGAACTTTTTAACATAACAAAATAGAAAATCACTGATTTACTTGTGAATGTTATAAGTTAAGAATACTAGGTGTGGAGCACAGTTATACAAATACCAAACTAACATAGGTTAATAATAGTGTTAGATATTACATACATGGTCCTATTTCTCTTAAATAATAAGTAATATTTGCACAAGTAAAAAATTACATAAAACCCAATTCTAACTCATTTGACAATCTCTATTTTGAGTAGCTGTAATAAGTAGCTGAATTAATAACTCCCAAAAAGTCTAGTGTGCTC